CCTAAACCCTAAACCTAAAACCCTCCTTGTGCATGTGATGCTGCTGTCGGCATCAGTGCGCAGAACGACTGTGGACCTGGCGTTTTGAGATCCACATCACTCCGCAAACCCTGAACTCTAAACCCTACACTCTACAAAGGGCTTAGGGTTTAGGGTTTAATTCGGGAATCCTAAACCCTAAACCCTAAACCCTAAACCCTAAACCCTAAACCCTAAGAGTTTGCAAGAGGGGCCGGAAGACCCGGGTCTGAAGGCCCAAAATTCCCCCCCCCCAACTACGAAAAGCCGTCGTGAGTCCATCCTGGACGGCACATCAACGAAAAGCAACTATAGGGTTTAGGGTTTAGGGTTTAGGGTTTAGGGTAAAGCAACTATGTTCAGGTGACGATGTGCAAGTGCAAATGAGCATGTTGGGTGATGTGAGTCGCAAATGCCAGTTTCCGAGAACAACAAACCTGAACAAGTATCGAATTCTCGAGTAACCCCCACTAAGATGGTGACTGGCTACAAGGCAAAATCCTCTTGTTGGAAGGCTGGAACTATCTTGCAAGAACCCCGATAGTCAAGAGCCCTAAACCCCACAAGAGCCGTTTAAGAGGACTCTGCAAGAACACCAAGACCTGTCGGTGCCTGGAACCCTAAACCCCCAATCCCAAATCCTAAACCCCGAAACCCCTAAACCCTAAACCCTAATCCCTAATCCCTAAACCCTAAACCCCTAAACCCTAAACCCCTAATCCCTAAACCCCTAAACCCTGAACCCCAAAACCCGTAAACCCACAACCCCTTCAAAGGCTGGAACTATCTTTCTGCTTGGGATCAAATGATCTCCTACACCTGGGGAGGACCAGGCCCGGTTTAGCGGTTCAAGGTTTAGGATTTTGGGGTGCCGGATTTGGGGATTAGTGTTCAGGGAGGACCGAGCTCGGATACACGGAAACGCAGCCACATTTTGGCTCATAAAGTGCAGGGTGAGTCGGATTTGTGTCAGGGCTGCTGCTACTGGGTTTCTATAATTAATCGCTACTGTTACTGTAAGGGTTCTATACGGTCAGGGGCTTGAGGGGTTTACGCTGCTTTCAGGGCGTGGTGTCTTTCGGGACTGCGGTGCTTACAGTTCAGAAGTTCCGGCTGCTTCTTCTTTCCGATTTGCATTTCGGGCTTCAGAGTTCACGACTTAGGGCTTTAGGGTGCAATTCAGGTTTCGGTAGATGGCTTGAAGGTGTTCGGGCTTGGGGGCAGCTGGGGGTAGAGGGGATGGTACTCAGATCAGCACAATCGGGTTGAATTCGGGATTGGGTGTATGTACCCTAAACCCTAAGCCCTAAACCCTAAACCCCAAATCCCTAAACCCTAAACCCTAAACCCTAAACGCTGATCCTGAATCCCTAAACCCTAGGCCGCCTAGGCCCTAAACCCGAACCCCCAATCCCCCAAAAGCCTACACCCCCTATCAACTCCGAGCCCAAAAGCCCGGAACAGGGGCCATGCTCTGATCTGTCTGGTGCTTAGTAAGGTTTAGGGTTTAGGGTTTAGAGTTTAGGGTTTGGGGTTTAGGGTTTGGGGTTTAGGGTTTGGGGTTTAGAGTTTAGGGTTTGGGGGTTTGGGGGATTTCTATCTGGAATGGGGGAATGGATCCTTATGATAGTCCCTTAAGGTTCCTTCTGGTAGTCCCTGTAACCCATACTAAGACCTAAACCCTAAACCCTAAACCCATTCCCCAATTCCCTACTAAGCACCAGACAGTGATGTCTGGAGGTTCTACGCACCGGTGGTTCCAGCCTTCTCTCTTCTACAAGCACCTGGGCTCGCTAAGGGTTTAGGGTCTAGGGTTTAGGGCCCTAAATCTGGGCTGACAACTCAGTGGCGCCCTAAGGCTTTGCAAAACGTGGTGTTCCTTTTTCGGTTCCCTCTGCGAACTATCGAGTAACCTACCCCTAAACCCTAAACTTGCCCTAACCCCCTAAACCTTGAACCTCACAACCCTAAACCCGAAACCCCTATACTAGAGGTTCAGGGGTCGAATTGGAGTCCTCAGGGTTGGAGGTTTAGGGTTTAGAGCTTAGGGNNAGGGTTCAGGGTTTGGGGTTTGGAGGCTTTAATGTTTAGGGTTCGGCGATTTGGGTTTAGTTAGGGTTTATCGGTGCCTTGTCAAAAGTGGTGTCAGAGTTCTGGGCTATGAGCCATACGAAGCCCTGCCCATATGTTCAGCCAAGGCACATACCACAGACTCGTGATCTAAAGCTGCCCCATTCTTGTTGAAGACCCAGGAATCTTTTGGGATCGATAAACCCCCAAAGCCTCGTCTAGAAACCCTGCGACAACTAGCAACCTGTCTGGCGTCAACCCTGAACCCGAAGACCTGCACCAAGCAATCAAACAAACATACTGCCGGCCATGTGCAAATCTAAGCTCAAGATATACAGACTTATTGCTACATACATACGTACATACATACA